TCTGCTTTCTGCTCAGGTCATGATCTCAGGGTCCTGGGATTGAGCCCTGCATCGGGCTACCTGCTCAGTGGGGAATCTGCTTCTCCTTCTCCCTCTGCTCTCCCCCTACTTGTGCTCGCACTCTGTCTCTCAAATAAATAAATAAAATCTTTAAAAAAAAAAGATACCCAGCTCCAGAGAGGGGCTGGGAAGCCAGACATGGAGTTTGGAGGAATCCGAGGATGCTGCTGATAGAGGGCATGGCCTTTGACTTGGAGGTAGGTCAGGTAGGGGCAGTCCTGTGAGGCAGATGAGTCCCCTGCCTGTGGGCAATCAGCCAGACAGCCAAAAGTAGAGGTCCCCTCAGCATTGCGTTCCTCTTGCTGTCCCAGGGTTGAGTCTGGTTACAAAGTCACACTTGTCTTCACTGAGCCACAAGAGGGGTGAAGAAGCCACCTTGGTGGGAACATCAAGGAGGATCAGTGGCCCCTCTCTCCAGCACTGGTCAGTGGAAAGAGAGCCACAAGGGGACAGAGGACTGCCTGGGGACAGGAGTGGTGACTGAGGGTCAGCCTCCCCACATGAAAGCACGCTCCTGGCTGTCAGCCCTGGAGAATGGAAATTAGGTTTTCTAGGAGGAATGGAGGCCCACAGTGCCCTGGGAAGGCAGTGTGGGAAGAATGTGGATGGTGGGTACTGGCAGACCTGGGTTTCTGTCTCAGCTTACCCTTTCATGCTGTGGGGCCTTGACAACGACTTACCCCCCTAGTCTTTGATTTCCTGTCTGTGGGGTGGGGTATGCCTCCCTCACAGCTGTTGCAGAGATGAAGCTAGGCGGCCTGCTGGGGGTATGTCGGGGAGGGGGGTGGCCTTCCCTGCATTAAGTCCAGGTGGAACCAGTTTATTCAATGGTCTTCATCTGGTCTCTTAAAGAACTTCCCTTTGGATCCCTTCACATCTTGGGCAAATGCTAGAGTTTTCCAACTAGTCCTTTTTTTTTTTTTTTTTAAAGTACCAGCCATTTTATAATTGAAACTCAGTCTCAAATATCCAGTCCGATCTCAACCTAATCTAAATCCAATCTTCAAGTTCTCTTTTAATCAAAGCTCAGCCTCTCCCTCCAGCTGAGGCCTGGCCCTCAGATTAAGGGGCCTGCAGTGAGAGAGGGGCAATCTGTTTGCCTCTTGGTCTGACATCACTGGGGCCACTATAATCCCTTCTTAGCTATTGCTGGTAGCACTGCCATGGCCACTGTGGGGACGAACATGCATGTTCATGGGGCCCATCTCTGGGTCTTTGGAGATGCCCTGCGCTATTCCCTTAGTGGGCCTGCCCTCTCCATCCTACCTCCTGTGTCCCAGCACCCCGCCCCTTAGCCTCCTATTTCTACCTCCAACGCTGTCCCAGCACCCCGCCCCTTAGCCTCCTATTTCTAGGGGCCCCTGCATCCAGCAGCAACTGTCTTGGGCAGAGTCTCTTCAGATCTGGCTGCCTTCTGCTCGACCGTGTCACTCTCTCACATACTTGATGCAACAAGCATCATCAGAAGGGCAGACTGCTCTCCTCTTCCCACCCCTGCCTGTGTGGGCTGCTCCAGCCAGCCTCTCATCCAGAGGACTCTCCAGCACGGCTTCAGACTCTAGGAAATACCTCTGGCTCTCCCCAAACTCTTGCTATACTGCAACAAGTGGCCCTGGCTGGGCCTCCCAGTGTCTGCTGCTTGGCTAGCCTCGGGAAGTGAGGCTGCAACCAGAGAGGCTCTTGACCGCACCCCCATACCTGCCCTGGGGGTGGGTACAGGATGACACAGTACTTTCCGCCACAAAAACTCTGATACTTCATGACCATCTCCCATTATCCCTGGATAATTTCTAGCCTTTTCCATATAGCCTGGAGATGAGGTGTGCTAGTCACCAGACCCATTTTGGACTTCTAGTAATCCGGCAGAGATGCATCAAGAATTTCTCTTTCAAATAGAGGATAACATACCACGCGTCACTCTTATGTTTGAAACTTCAGCTAAAAATCATAAAGATTGCAAAAATCCCATTGTCTCAGAAAATCCCATATTCTCTCATGCAGGTGTTAATTTTCCAGGCTCAGGACTTTCCATTTCTTCTGGAATCTAGCAAAGGAATCCCCTATTACAGGTGCTATTTTTCCTCAGTGTGTTAGAAGCAGTGTCGGGTAGAATGGTCTAGGCACCAGGCTAGAAGCCAGGACACATGTATGATATCTGCCCCAAGAAGCTGCAGGCCATGTTCCCTCTGCTCCTGCTCCCTCCCCTATACAGTGAGAGGTAGGTCAGAGTTAAGGTCTCTTAGGGTTAAGAGTCTAGGAGGTTTTTTAAGTTTTTCATATCATGAGTACAAAAAACCAAACAAACAAAAAACCAAAACCCTCATAAAACACATAATTACACAACACCCATGTAACCACTATCTAGATTAACAAAACATTTCCAACATCCCAGAGGCCCCTGTATCCCCTCCAATTTATTACCCCCCTGCCACGCCCAGGGGAAATTCCAATTCTTTTATTCAAATTACTTCCCTTAAATAAAAACTTAAAATGGGGGGGGGCACCTGGCTGATTCAGTTAGGAGAGCATCCGACTCTTGATCTTGGGGTCACGACTTCGAGTCCTGTGTTGGGAGTAGAGATTACTCAGATAAATAAAAACTTAAAAAAAGAAATTGATTTACCTTATAATTTTACCAACCAAGAATGTATTCCTAAAAAATTACTATAGTTTGGTTTTGCTTGGTTTTGAATTTTTTTAAAGATTTTATTTTTGAGGGGCGCCTGGGTGGCTCAGTGGGTTAAAGCCTCTGCCTTCGGCTCAGGTCATGATCCCAGAGTCCTGGGATCAAGCCCCGCATTGGGCTCTCTGCTCGGCAGGGAGCCTGCTTCTTCCTCTCTCTCTCTGCCTGCCTCTCTGCCTACTTGTGATTTCTGTCTGTCAAATAAATAAATAAAATCTTTAAAAAAAAAAAAAGATTTTATTTTTGATAGAGTATGTGAGCACGAGTGGGTAGGGGCAGAGGGAGAAGCAGACTCCCTGCTGAGCAAGGAGCCCAAGGTGGGACTCCATCCCAAAATCCTGGGATCATGACCTGAGCTGAAGGCAGACACTTAACTGACTGAGCCACCCAGGTGCCCAGTTTTGAGTTTTTTATAAGTAGAATAATACAGAAGGTATTCTGTGTTCAGCTTCCTTGTTTGACATTCTTTTGTGAGGCTCATTCTTATTATTTCAAGTAGCTGTGGTCGATGCTTTCTCAATGCTATATCCTTGCATGAACAGACTGTGACTTGGTTGTGTTGTTGGATATTTGGGTCATCAATGTAGGACTTTATATAAATGTGCACATGCACACACAAATACAAACACTTTCACTTCACATATAACCACATATAACCATATGGATTCAGAACTGATTTCTTTGTGAATTCAAGAACTTAGGTTGGGCTTTTTTTTTTTTTTAAGATTTTTTTTTTTTTAAAGATTTTATTTGTTTGGAAGAGAGGTGTGGATGGGGGCGAGCATGGACAGGGGAGGGGCAAAAGGAGAGGGAGAAGCAGACTCCCAACAGAGCAGGGAGCCCAACTCAGGGCTCAATCCTAAGGCTGATGCTTAATAGACTGAGCCACCCAGGCTCCCCTTGATTGTGGAAAAGTCCCTCTATTAAATTGGTCACACTGCTAATACAGTTTTGGTGTTTTTGTTTTTTGTTTTTACCGTCTTGTGGACAAAATCTGAATCTAGGGATATAATTCATCTTCTTCAACATGGTATCGTCATAAGCTTTCCTCCTAACTTAAGTCATTAAGCAGAAAATGACCATGGTTAGGCTATTGAGATTTCCTCCAGGGAATCTAGAGAATGATTAGTATATAGACTTAAGGAATTACTGAAAATAAAAAATTTTTTCCTCTGGCTCTTTTAAGGAAATAGTAAGCCAAGTGAGACAAAACTCTTATCCACCCAGTTCCCAGGACTGGTTCACCCCACCAGTAGCAGCACACAGGCAGACCTCCTGACATGGGGGCATACATTGCACAGGGATGCCCTTGAATTTTTGCTGCATAGGAGCTGAAAGGTGCCATGGTGCTTGTTCAGACAGATGATCCATTTCCAGCTCAGACTCCAGGCAGCAGTGAATCTTGGTGCCAAAGTCTTTGTACCTTCTATAACCAGAGTGAGGCAAACATGGGTCCCACAAAGAGACCACACCAGAAGTGGGCTGAGAGCTCAGGTGGGAGGGGCAGAGCTGCACTGCCCTGGATGGCAGGGGCCTGAACACACTGGTGGGATGTCAAGCCTCCCACAAAAATCCATTGATGAGGGCACCTCAGTGGCTCAGTCGGCTCAGGTCATGACCCAAGGGTCCTGGGATAGGCCCCAGGTTGGACACTCAAAGACGGAGCCAGCTCACTCTCTGAAGGTTGTGGACTCATTCTCAATCTTTTTGTCAGTTTCATAAACCCCCTTTTAGAGACCATCATGCATAGCTACCCAGACTGAACACACTCTACCCCATCCCTAGTAACCCCGGTTAAAATGAAGCCTTTATGGAATTCTGTCCTAAGTATGCCTACATGTGCATTGGTTACCTTAAAACAAAAACAAAAAACAAAACAATTTGAGGGGTGGGAGAGCAGGTGACATCTCTTCGTCGCTTTGTAGGTATCTCAGTGGTCTGCATCTGCACAGTGGTTTCATTTCCTGAGTCTTTATGGGTCTTTCCTAGTGGCCATCCTGCCCCCACGCATTTCAATCTACAGATCCCCAAGACAAGGGGTGTGTCTCCTCCATCAGTTTAGGCGTCGCTCCGAAATCGGGAACCAAGCCTAGTGCCGCCAAGGGAGAGAAATGTCTAAGCACCGTCTCCCCTCCTCTGAGTGATGCCACTCAGGGAAGAAGCCACGGCAGCACCTGCGTATGCCCGCCCGGCTCGCCACCCAGCAGGCACCACCTGCCCAGCCAGGGCCTCGCTGACCCCTGCCCTGTCTCCCCAGGTTTCGGCATGACCACCCCCGCGACGGTGGGCGGGAAGGCCTTCCTCATCGCCTACGGGTTGTTCGGCTGCGCCGGGACCATCCTGTTCTTCAACCTCTTCCTGGAGCGCATCATCTCGCTGCTGGCCTTCATTATGCGCGCCTGCCGGGAGCGCCAGCTGCGCCGCAGCGGCCTGCTGCCCGCCACCTTCCGCCGCGGCTCCGCGCTCTCAGAGGCCGATTGCCTGGCCGGCTGGAAGCCCTCGGTGTACCACGTGCTACTGATCCTGGGCCTGTTCGCTGTGCTGCTATCGTGCTGCGCCTCGGCCATGTACACCAGCGTGGAGGGCTGGGACTACGTGGACTCGCTCTACTTCTGCTTCGTCACCTTCAGCACCATCGGCTTCGGGGACCTGGTGAGCAGCCAGCACGCCGCCTACCGGAACCAGGGGCTCTACCGCCTGGGCAACTTCCTCTTCATCCTGCTCGGCGTGTGCTGCATCTACTCGCTCTTCAACGTCATCTCCATCCTCATCAAGCAGGTGCTCAACTGGATGCTGCGCAAGCTGAGCTGCCGCTGCTGCGCGCGCTGCTGCCCGGCGCCCGGCGCGCCCCTCTCGCGGCGCAACGCCATCACGCCGGGCTCCCGGCTGCGCCGCCGCTTGGCCGCACTCGGCGCCGACCCCGCGGCCCGCGACAGCGACGCCGAGGGCCGCCGCCTGTCGGGCGAGCTCATCTCCATGCGCGACCTCACGGCCTCCAACAAGGTGTCGTTGGCGCTGCTGCAGAAGCAGCTGTCGGAGACGGCCAACGGCTACCCGCGCAGCGTGTGCGTCAACACGCGCCAGAACGGCTTCTCGGGAGGTGTGGGCGCGCTGGGCATCATGAACAACCGGCTGGCGGAGACCAGCGCCTCCAGGTAGACCGCCGGGCCGCGCCACGGACCCTCGGCAGGCTGGCGTGCCGCCGGCCGTGGTTTGCTTTCCTTCTCTCAGACGCTGGCGCTTTCTTAATCTTTACCCAATAAAATCAAACCAAAAAAAAATTTTTTTTTTTAAAGAAATACTATTTGGCCAGGCCTGATGTTATCCAGGGCAGGTTTCGGGGGAGCCTGTTTTCCTCCTGGGTCCCCTCTTGAAGAACCGTGGCCCCCGGCAGATTGTCCTCCTGGGCGAGAGAAAGTGGCACCCCAGACCCTCGCCTGGTGCATGCTGCAGCGAGGAGAGGTCCATTCCTGGGTTTTTCGGACTGGCACTGAACCCCGTCCCCATGCACATAAGCAGCCGGCAACCCCAAAGCATATGGTGCAACTTCTCATGGCTCTGAATTACCTCCGCAGCATTTAGAATCCTGGCCCAGCCTAGCAGCTTCCTTCTGGTCGTCAGAAGTGATGTAGTCACAGTTTTGACAGGTGGGGGTGGGGAGAGCCATATGTTGCCTACCGATGTATATAAATAGAACAGCCGCTACACACGGAGAATGGTGTAGTATTATGCAATGAGATGAAACACAGCACCAACTTGCAGACTGTGGCATTTCCCTGAGATCTGGAAATTGGGATGGTAAGGGGCTCAGCTGGCCTTTCTCAGCCTGGAGTTGGTGCATTTAGCCCCACACACAGGGCAGCTACTCTGAATGTTGGAAACCCAGGGTGGCCGCAGGGAGGGGAACACACAGGCTCCCCGAGCCCTGTTTTGCTTCAGCCAGCTGATCTCTGAGGCTGGGGGCGCATCACAGAATCCTCCAACCCTTTCTTCTACCAGTGTTGTCCTTGGGAATGCTCTTCATTACCAATCAGGAATGTCTGAGTCTTCTCAGACAAGATCTTGCTTTGTTGGTGTGGATTTCGGTTCTTAACTCCCCGTTGAGCAGCTTGTTTTCCCCCTAAGGGTGCAGAGCACAGCCTGCAAAACCCCCTTCTCCTCCTCTGAGTCCGAGCTCTGCCGCACCAGGAACCCAAAGCAGCCATCCTGCGAATGTCAGAGAATTTGGCTCCAGGGCCCATAATGTTTTTGCGGACAGATCCCATTCTAAGCCCTGTTTGGCCTCCACTGACAGTCAAGTGAATTTGTTTTCTCCACGCACAGTCTGTATTGGAGGTGGTGGAAGGCAGGAGCAGGGGGAGCTGATGGATAGGGTGGATGAAAGCAGTTTTGGAATTAGTTTTGCGCTGGTTGATTGTCCAGTTGAGGGACTGGCTCTCCGCCCTCTGCTGCAGAGAGGTCCCTGACCTGGAGGAAGGCCAGATGCTGCCTTCATTGAAAGGAGGGGGTTCTTGGACTGTAAAGGAACAATCCTCTTCTGGCCCCTCTTCCTCATCTAAAGAGATGATCCCAAGGACAAATGCCAGAGTCTAGTCAGACATGGTGTGACCCACCAATATCCACAGCTTCTGACAGGAAGTCTTGGAGAAACACCAGGATGCCTCACACTGTATGCCCGAGAGGCATGGGAGGCCATGGAATCTCCCTTCCCGGCAGTGAAGGAAGCGTATGTGCCTGGAACACACACACATGCACACACATCAGGAGTCATGTTTCAATGTCAACCTCCCCTTTCCCTGCTCCAATTCATGACCAGAAGGGGAAAAAGTGTTGGGATCCGAATGATACTCTAGCTACTTTGATTAATTTCTCATTGGGATTGGGATTGGGATTGAAACCACAGACCCTAATCTGTGGGTGAGGCAGGGAGGCAGAGTGGCCAGGAGAGAGGTCAGTCTTACTAAATCCTGAAGGCCCACGCTTCAGGAGTCACGGTGACCGTCACTCAGGCCAGCTGGTGACACCCCTGCCCCACCCAAGCCATGGCTGGGGTCACACTGCAGAGACAGCATACCGAGAGAGGCACATATGCTCTAGACCAAGGCCCTCTCATAAGGCCTAGAAATACATTGTCATGCCAATCCCTCTAAAAGAAGGAAAGATGAAAAGGCATCCAATTAGAGGTGTCACCCAGGCAACAAGCAATAACTTAGGGATCTGAAGCAGACAGAGGGGGTGAGAGAGCCCCATGATGGAGGCATCTAGACCATGAGGACTCGTGAGCAGGCAAAACAGCAGCCAATGCAGAGGACATGAGCCCCAGTGACAGCACAGGAAGCTTAAGACCTAGCTAACGAGGTTCTTTGAGCTAGACAGGCCAAGGAGGTGTCCAGGGGATCCCACTGACCAGCACACAGGACTGCACAGAGCTGCGTCTCCACAGGAGGGAGCAGGACCCACCTCCAGAGAAGAAAAACTCACAACCTTCCTTGGCAGTCTTCTCTGTCAGCAGTGCTTCCTAAAGTCTATCCTAAAGTGCTCATGCTGCAGCCTTCGCTGTTTTCACTTCTCCACTGCTTTGCCTTGGGAAGGAGACAATTGCGAGCAGCTTGAGCAAGCTTCTGAAGGAGCCATAAGCCTGGCTGAATGGGGACAGGGAAGGGACCCTTCCCTCTCATCAACCTCCCAGAGAAACACCAGCCCTCCAACATACAAAAGGAGCTTAAGATCCAGAGTCATGCTTGTCTTTTTGCCCATGTTCCCCTAGTGCCCTTACCCAAATTCAGTACATTGTTGTCCTTCACCTCCCGCCAAAGGGCTCAGTGTCCCAAATGCCAGGGGCTGCTTCCCAGGGGGGTGGGGAGAGGCTGGGTTCCCAAAGTTAGGGGGATTGCTGGAGCCCCAACCCCTGCCTCAAGGCCTCTTTGGCATCCTGCTGAGTGTCGAGAACCAGAACTGGGGTCCTACCATCATTTGGGAATAATAATGTTGATAGGGACCCCTTTTCTTTGGTGCAGTTTCTTCTGAACCTCAGGCTAAGTGAGGCTCCATTCTCTTAGCTATTGTGCCCTCTCCCATCATGTGGGGATCTCCAGTTGGACCCACGGCTGGTAGCTCCCAGTGGTCTATGACTCCCCCTGCCCCCAGCTCCTGGGGTTGCTGTCTCACCTTATGTCCATACTCACCCCTCTCAGGCTGGGGCTGTGGGGCTCTAAGCAGCCCTGCCACCCGTTGTGGCGACACAGAGGCCAGGGTCTAAGTGAGTGGCTGTGGGACTTCTCCAGGATGAGCAGACAGGTAAGGAAGCCTGCCCTCCGCCCCCCACATCCTTGCTTGCTAACGAGGCCAGGTGGTCAGGCTCCTCTGTCCTCTGACTGAAGCCAGAGTCCCCAGGGCCTGGAGAAAGAGTCAGAAGGCTCAGGCTGTGTCAGGCCCTCAGCTTGTAGAAAATGCTATACAGTCCTAGGCATTTGCCCAGGAGCTTCACACATCACCATATCATGTGTACATACATGCACGCATGCACACACATGCACACACATGCACACACACACACACACACACACACACCAGCCTTACCAGGAGCTACTAGCCCCTTTCCCCAAGGAAAAATCCCAGTCTGGATCACGTTGAGAAGAAAGCTTTCCCATTTTTAACTCCCTGGAGATCTACTAGGGCCTGGAAAATTCCTCTCTGCCTTGGGGGAGTTTCACATACACTCTGCATGCATTTGAATCTGTGTTTTACATAGAAGCCAGAGTCCAAACCCAAGCCAAACCGTGGAAGATAGCTGCTAAATTTACGCAGGCTCCTCCACCCCTCAGACAGGCCTCCTAACAGACGCCCTCTTCCTGTGTGCTTCGGGGTGAGGGGAGCTGAGCCCTCACAGCCAAAGGAGAAGCTTCTGGGGAACTGAGGCGGATGGAGGCCCACAGAGGTGGTGGCCCCAGGAGCTGTGGGCCAGGAGGGTTCCGTCCTACTGTAACTTTTTACATTCTTAACAAACAAAAAGCACAATTCCACACACACTGTCTGGAAAGCATAGCCAGACAGACTGCTTCGGGTCCTTCTGAGTCCAGAAGAGACACAGGGGCTTCTGGGTTGCAGGGCTGCAGCTGGAGGCTGCAGTCTCTGTGGGCTGGGGTGGGGGAAGGGTTGCCAAAACCATTCCTGAGCCAGGGCACACTCCTTGGCACGGACTCGGGGCCTGGACTTGTGCCCCCTTCCTAGGAGCAGCCCTGGCACCTTCAGGCGCCTTCTTAAGTGCTGAGAAGTGATGAGATTTCTGTACTCACAGGGCCTGAGACCCTCCTCTCCTTTCCTTCAGCCTCTTCCTCCTCTCTCCTCTCCCCAGGGAAGTTCCCCCTTGCTTTACAAATCATTTTCTATGCTACTGTGTTCTCTCAGGAGGGGGGTTAGAGCATGTGGGGCAAGCCTGCAGGGTTTCTTAAACAATACATTTATTTTTCTGAGCAGTACTCCAAGAGAGGAGTTGAAGGGTGTTGAAATTAACGATGAATAAAATGCAGCCTGCCACCCCTTTAAGCTGTTTGCTGTCTGTCTGTCAGAGCCTCCTGTCTCCCCACATCCCTGATCACACCTCCTCTCAGGGGGCCCCAGGAGACCTGAGCTCCTTGAATTGGGCCTCAGCAGCAGCTCCCTGGGGAAGTTACTCAGCAAAACAACAGTGACATCCATCTGAGCTGGTAGGCACCAATGTACCTTGCAGGCAGCTTGGCTGAATTGGGGCTGGGCCAGTTTCTAATAGCTGGGCCTGAGAGAGAAGATGAACACAGAGGAAACTGGCCCCATGGTGGCAGCGGTTTCCAATCCTGGTCCTGCACTAGAGTCTCCTGAGGCAACTTGAGAAAATACTGATGCCCCGCCCATCCCCCACCGGCCCCCCACCAGCCAACCTCCTTCCCCAATGTCCAGCCCCTGTGGAGATTCTGATTTCAGTGGTCCTAGGAGGAGCTCAGCCAGACATTGGAATTTTGTGGGCGGTGCCCAGGTACTCCCAATGGGTAGCCAGTGTCTTGAACCCACACTCTAAACACAGAGCACTCTCGTCATGGTGTGGAAAGCAGGTTCACTTAGAAGTTAGTTCCGCATCTGGCAGTCACCCTGCTGGCTCAGATCCTCAGTTTTCTCATCTCTGA